TCTCTCTCTCTCTCTTCTCTCTCTTTTTCTGTCTGGCTGTCCCCCCTCCCCCCCTCTCTCTCTCTGTCTCTCTCTCTTTGTTAGTATGTCTCTGTCTGTCTGTCTGTCTGTCTGTTTCTCTCCGTATTTTTCAGTTTCTCCCTCTTTCTTTGGTTCTCACTGCCTATCATTCAATCAACCCAACTGTCTATATAAGCTGGTGGTTTCAGGGAGCTACGGGTCTTACTCTTGTTGTACGAAACGGCCTTTATTGTGTGGATGTACTTCTTTTCACTCAAACTAAATCTCCCCTAACTGACGTTTGTGGGTGGTTGGCGGGTGCTTTGGTGTGGTTTGCTCCTTCATTCCCATCGAACATCTATCGTCCTGATCTCCCCTCCTTTTTATATTTGTTCCTCTCTTGTAACACCTCTAATCTTGGGCACTTATACGACCTTATTGTGTTGCAAGTGCCGTAAAACGCATACTAAAACTAAACTTTTATATTAACTGCCGTTGGGGTTTTCCATGCACCGTGGAAAAAATTTATATAAAGGTATACTGAATTTTGTACGAATATAAGTAATACGTATACTGTCCCTGCGAATTGAGTAGCCATCTACAGCTTTTCGGCACAGTGCCGGTCTCATTGCACCTCGAAATAATGTGCCAAGGAAGTGGCTTTCAACCAAAATTTCCAGCCGCCCCGCCTCGTCAGCTATTTAGAACATTCTGAAGTCGGGGAAACGATTTAAATTTTTGCTCGAGCGTAAGGCGTCCTGAATTTTTAAATTCTCAGAGAAACCGTTAGCTACATGGACATCGATCTCTCTTCCCGGACCCCTCGTATGACGTCAGTGTCCAGCTCTCCCGTTGTCGCGTCGCTCTATAGCCCGCGGGCAAGACAGAGCTGGTGTGTCTTGTCTGGTATCTCATGTGTCTTTCTGTCTACATACGCCAGCCATTATTTGGGTCACATCCAGGGCTGTATTTTCTTTTTCCTCGTGAAACGATATCTGTGGTGTAATGGTTAGGATTTTCGCTGTTGCAACCAGATGGTGCGATTCCCGTTTGTTTGTTTTTTGGTTGCGTTTTGTTTTGTTTTGTTTTTAGATCAAGTATCCCCAGTATTTGCAAATGACAACTGGTGAATGATATTATGTTCTCTGATATTGTTTTCTTGTAATTTTTAATTCCATCTGTGAAGGCCTTGCCAGCTGTGTTGATAACACTGATAACACTTGTTCACCCTCAAAAATGTTTTTTCCCCATCTTTTCGAAGCGGCTGTGGAGGTCTTTTTCGTTAATTTATTCTGTCATTTAGCCTTTCTTTCTTTCTTTCTTTCTTTCTTTCTTTCTTTCTTTCTTTCTTTCTTTCTTTCTTTCTTTCTTTCTTTCTTTCTTGCTTTCTTTCTTTCTTGCTTTCTTGCTTTCTTTCTTTCTTGCTTTCTTGCTTTCTCTCCACTGTCTTGTTTTTCACCACAAGTGTTTTTGTTTTTTTAATCTTGTCGAAACGCTAGTGGGGGTTTTTCATTTCATTCATTGTCTTTCTTTCTTACAACCAGAAACCATTTTGTGACCTTCAGGGCCTCAGTGACCTTCAGTTAAAGCCATCTGATTCTGGTCTTCTTGGGTGTTAATTCTCATTTATAACAAATCTACCTCTGGTATTTTTGGACATCCTTTGTCCCCCCCCCCTCCTTGCTCACACGTACAAATTAAAAAAAAATCATGTAAAAACGCCTTCCATCTGCTCCTCTAGTAATGCAGTCTCGCGATTTTGTTTGTTACAGTGCTGCAGTGTTGTGACGTCAGTCCACACCTAGTTCATGCAGTGTGTGTGTGTTGGTGTTTGTGTGTGTGTGTGTGTGTGTGTGTGTGTGTGTATGTGTGTGTGCGCGTTGGTGTGTGTGTGTGTGTGTGTGTGTGTGTGTGTGTG